CTGAACTTACTCTTTCTTGTCCTCTGGATGCTTAAGCTGTCCCAAGCATTATTATTGTATAATTCAGCCATGCATCTTTCCTTATGCTCATTTCATCTAGGAACTTAAATAATTTACCTAGATCTGATTTAAAGAAGTGTGAGTATGTCCCTTCCACAAAGTCTTCACAGTAACTCTGAGTCATACGCTTCCATTGTCACCACAAATGAAGCAGTTTTATGTATCTGTTATTTACATATCAAAAGAACCAATTGTTTTTACAGTAATATTCCCTTGAAACTTTCACTTAAAAAAAGAAGTTTCACTTAATTTGGTTAAGACTTATAAGAGCACCCAGAAGAAATGGAAGCGAATAATTTAACAATCATTTATCTTCCTTACCATTTTTAACCAGGAAAACAAATAAGAACTTGATTGCTACTTGAACAGATCCTTTTCATGAAGAGAAATTAATCACTATGCCTGTTGTATATTAAATTATTTTTCTAAAAACATTTGGGTTGATTAAAGTAGAAAGATGAAACTGCTTCTAGCAAAATTCAATTATAGATATACAACAGAGACATAATATGAAAACCAGGACCTGTTCTGACTTTAATCTCCAAAAGGAACAAACAAATTTAATTAAGAACAGAACCTTGATTTGACTAAGGGAAGAAGGCCAAGGTTTTGCTAGAAAATAAATAACGATAAAATTTGGATGTATATCATTAAATAGTTATTTTAGCAATATCTACAGGGTATCCAGTGACAGGATGGAGTTGCTTGTGTGGATAATTTAGAAAACATTTTTATTGATTAAACAATTTTCATCATTATAAATATGATCTATTGGGCAGGGGGCACCATACAGTGCTAGAGTACTTGCCTAACGTGCTTGAGGCTCTGGGTTCAATCCCCAGCTTTGCAAAATAAATTTAGAATAATAAGTAAATGCACAAAATCTCTTTACATCATTCAGAATTGTTTTATGATCACTGTTAAAGTCTGTGTATGTGTTATAGTTATATATTTATTTTTTGTGTTGACAATTTGGTTTTTTCCTTTCATTTAACATTTCATATATAGCTATATGTGTATTAATACTAGATAATCTTACAATTTTAAACATATTTATATAGGTTTTCTTGTGTTTGGGTCATTATAGTTGTCTAGTTTGTTCCTCAGACACAGTATAGCTATGAATACATTTTGTATCCTTTTCTTTTCTTTTGATTATTTCCTGGCAGTGTGTTTACAAAAGTAGAATTCCCAGGTCAGACACTGGGTGTGGTGGCACATGCCTGTAATCCTTGCTATTTGGGAGGCTGAGGCAGGAGGACTGAGAGTTCAAGGTCAGTCTGGGCAATTTAGTAAGATCTTGTCTAAAAAAAAAAAAAGAGCTGAGAAAGGAAAGGAGGGAGAGAAGGAGAGAAGAGAGAAAGGGAGAGAAGGAGGGAGGGAGGGAAGGAGAAAGGAAGGAGTGACTGATTTCCAGATCAGAAAGCATAATCATTTATTATATACTTCTAGGCTTCTTTCCAGAAAGATATGACCAAATTTGTGAGGCCTTCATAGTAGGAAATATGGAATATTTTCCCATGGGTTTATCATCATAATCATTGTATTGTTATTTTGTTTTCTGATGTTTTTGTTTGTAGTACATCAGTCATTTGCATTTTAATTGCATTTACTTCAATCAGGCTCTAAAATACACTCTTAAATGGAGTTATTTACTCTGATTCTTATTTCTACTTATTAAATGGGTCCTAAAAGAATAAATATATCCTCCCCACACAGAGTCAACTGCATTTCTCTCTTTTTTTTTTTTTTTTTTTTTTAGTAGTGGTGCTGGGGAATCAAACCCAGGGCCTTGGGTATGCATGACAAGAGCTCTACCACTGAGTCACATCCCCAGCCTGACAATTCTATGTACAGTACTAATCACAAGTAAATGGAATCTGAAATTTAAAACATAATACTTACAGTCTTTCCAGGGAAAATATAATGCCTAGGTATGAACCTAATGAAACAGGTAGGCTGAAAATTGCAGAATGCTCACGAAATAAATCAAAGAAGACCCAAGTAAATGGACTACCATATTCATGGATTAGAGGACTCGATATATAGTGGAGTGTAGATTCTCCCCAGATTGATCTACAGGTTTAAGGTAATTCCTATTGAAATCCTAGTAAGGTTTTTGCAGTCATAGACAAGTTTACTCTAAATTCATATGGAAAGGCAAAAGTCTTAGAATAGCTAAAAACAACCTTTTATTTTTTTAAAGAATAAGGTAGAAGGAGTCACTTTACCTGATCCTGAGGCTTATTCTACAGTTACAGTAATCAAGATGGTATGGCCACTGATGGAGAGACAGCTACACAGATCAATGTGATAGACAACCCAAAATTTGGGCCCACATTTTTATTGTACAAAAGTTTCATTTGTTCTTATGTCAACATATAGCATTTCATCCTTGTTTGCTTCTATTAAGTTGGCCTTATCCTCTTACAGATGTTATAAATATACTATTCTATTTTCTTCTAGTTTTTTAAAATTTTGTTTTGCACTTAACTCTTACTCATCTGAGTATATATTTTATAGGGTTTGGTATGACATATAAGTCCAAGTTAGTTCTACCGAATAACAGTAACTAACACTAATGGGATTTATTAGGTAATTATTCCTTCTTCAGTAATTTGGTTATTTTTGTTAGTCATTTTAGTCAGTTAATTAAGTTCTCAGAGTGTTTTAAATATCCTTGAGAACCTTCCCCATTTAGTTGATCAGATCTCTGTTTTAAAGGCAACAACAGAGGATCTTGGCTGTCACAGCAGTATGTCTCCATTCGTGGGGAACACAGAAGTGTTTGTAGGGGTTTCTGGACTTTTCTAGAGTAACAGTTCTTCCCGGGGACAAATGCTTCTTGTCCCTGTATTAATACCTTTGCACTCGCATCAGAGTTTCTTGTCTCACCTTTTAATCCCAGTGCTGAGTATCAGATTCAGGGCATTGTGCACACTATAACGTGTCAGTTTTATGGAAAAACAATGTTTTTATCACTTTGCTAGATTCTTCTCCTTATTTGGTGATGAGAAGAGAGGAATAAAGCCAGACACATACTCAAAAGCTATGGCTATCCAGGCATGGTGACGTATGCTTGTAACCCTAGCTAGAAGATCACAAGTTCAAGACCAGCTTGGGCAACTTAGTGAGACCGTGTCTCAAAATAAAATTTAAAAAAGTTTGGGCATATAGCTTAGCAGTAAAGTGCTTGCCTACCATGGACATGGCCCTGAGTTTCCCCAATACTGGAAAAAGAAAAACGTAATGAATGTTCAGATGTTGGGTTGTTTCACTGATTGGCTAAGTTATTTAGTTGCCTATAATAGTCTTATAGTATGCAAAAATCAAAATCTTGCCTCAAGAAAACTATAAGTGACTACACAGGTTATGATATGATATGATATTATATTATATTATATGATTAACATATATATGGTTCAGGGATTTCTAAGAAAAGTCAAAACTGCAGATATTGGATCCAAGAATGTTAATGACCTATTTTAAAATCTACTACATCAAATCCAGCCTGGTTCTTTAAAAAAATGTCCTTTGGTATAGGTTGAGTGTCCCTAATTCAAAAACCTGAAATACTGCAAATCTCAAGTTTTTGAGTCGCAACATGACGCCACAAATGGAAAGATCTACCACTGTAGTCATGGGAAAATCTGCAGTCAAAACACAGGTGCAGCCAAGCTCGGTGGCACACACCTGAAATCCCAGCACTTGGGAGGCTGCATAGCAAGACCCTGCCTCAGAAAAGAAAGCAACAAAGCCCACAGATATACTGATACTAAACATGTAACCTGGAGCTACGTCCCGCGCCTTCCATCCGCATCCATCGCTGGCTGCGGTAGGTAGCTCGTCAGGCCCCCAGCAGCCAGTATAATGTAGCAGATGGAAACCAAAGAGGCCTGTCAGCAAGCCTTGGCTGGTGCAGGAGATAACTGGTCGTAGCTGATTTCTCAGCCACGTGGTGGGGGCCTTGCAAAATGATCAAGCCCTTCTTTCATTCCCTGTCTGAAAAATATTCCAACGTGTTGTTCCTTGAAGTAGATGTGGATGACCGTCAGGATGTCGCTGCCGTGTGTGAGGTCAAATGCATCCCAACCTTCCAGTTTTTTAAAAAGGGTGAGAAGGTGAGTGAGTTTTCTGGCGCTAAGAAGGAAAAGCTTGAAGCCACCATTAATGAATTCATCTAATTGTGTTTTCTGAAGAACATAACTTGCTATCAGCTGTTTAAAACTTTTAATTTTTTTTATTTACAATAAATATGAAGTATGGAAACTACCCAACTGCCACCTGATTATAAATGACAATAAAATATTAATTCCACCCTTTAAAAAACTAAAAATAAACATGTATACTAAATACTGTGTAGGCTGTCAGGTCCAAATGGCAAGTGGTAGATGGTATTCAAAAATAATATTACCCAGGATTCAAAGTTAGCACACAAAAAACAACAGCATTCCTGTATATCAATACCGAACCCAATGAGAAGGAAATTAGGGAAACAATCCCATTCACAGTAGCTGCAAAAAAAAAGTAAATACCTAGGAAGAAACCAAACCAAAGAAGTGAAAAACGTCTGTAATGAAAAATTAGAATTCTGAAGAAAGAAATTGAAGAGAATATTAGAAAATGGAACGACATCCCTGTTCCTGGAGAGATAGAGTTAATATTGTTTAAACGGCTATATTACCAAAAGTGATCTATGAATTTAATGACAATAATACCCTTCATAGAACTAGGAAAAAACCCTAAATTTTATATGGAAATAGAAGAGAGCCAAAATAGCCAAAGCACTCCTCAACCAAAAGAACAAAGTGGGATGCATCACAATTCCAGATTTCAAGTTATACTACAAAGATACAGTAACAAAAACAGAATGGTGCCTGCACAAAATAGACATGGAGACCAATAAAATAAAGCAAAAGGCACAGAATACCCTCATTTACCTTCAGTCATCTGGTCTTTGGACAAAGGAGCCCAACATATTTGAAGAAAAGTTGGCTTCTTTGACAAATGGTGCTGGAAAACTGGATATCCATAGGTAGAAAACTGAAAATAGATCTCTCTCTCTCTCACCCTGTAATAAAATCAAATAAAAATGGATCAAAGACCTATAAATGAAAACAGAAACTTTGAAACTGCTGGAAGATAACAAAGAAAACACTTTAAGCCATAGGTACGTTGAAGAAGTTCCTGAGCAGGACTCCAATAGCATAGGAAATAATGTGAAGAATCAACAAATTAAAAAGCTGGGAAACAAAAATTTTGCTAGCTACTCTTATAGAGGACTAGTATCTAGCATATATAAAGAACTCAAATACCAAAAAGCAAATGACCCAATCAAAAAATTGACACATGAATCCAATAGATACTTCTCAAAAGAGGAAATTCAAATGGCCAATAAGTACATGAAAAAATGCTCATCATCTTTAGCTATTCGGGAAATGCAAACCAAAATAACACTGAAGCTGGGCATGGTGGCACATACCTATAAACCCAACACTCTGGGAAGCTGAGACAGGAAGATTATAAATTCAAGCCTGGCCTGAGCAAGTTAGGTGACTATCTTAGCAAGACATTGTCTTAAAATAATAAATTTTTAAAAGGCTAGTTATTATTTTTTTTATTTCATAGCAATTGGCAGACTTTAATATCCAAGAAAAATTGAGTCCATCATATACATTAAAAATATAGGAAATTTCATGCAGACATGAAGCTTCCAATTCAGCCTTTATGGCTGCTTTTAAAATGAGAATTAGATATACAGTACACTCCATAATTTTATACTGTGATTTATATGGCTTCTCTTTATAATATATATCTTCATCTTGCTCATTTGATTAACATACCCTAAATCTGCACCACTTTAGAAAATGAAAATTTTTTAAAATGCAAGCACAATGACCACTTAGTGAAACGGAAAACATTTTTGTAAAGAGCCAATTTAAGAAAAAAGAAACTGTTAATGCTTACACACTTTAGTAGCTAGGATTAAACTTCAATACAAAATTAAATCTTCCAGTGACATTTCTATTATGATCGATTAACACATTTTTGACTTACGATATATGAACTGAAAAAGCTACAGGAAAAAGTGGTGCAAATTTGTATAGAACATTTAAAAATATAGTGAGGTTAAAAACAAATGAAATAACTGATTTCAGAGTTAACTAAAATAAACACTATAATTTAAATATAACATCATTAGGTAATTTTACATAATAAAACCAACCTACCAGTGTCAGTCTACTTTTGCCTTTGTGAGAAAAACAAAGATCATTTGTTTTGATATAAGTTGTAGAAAAGTAAATATAGCCAGTGAATAGAAGGCATTTCTACATTACTCAAACATAGCATGCATTCCTTGCCATTTAATGGACTTTAAAAAAAATAGTTGTGCTGCTTCACCTTTTCAAAAGTAATGTTAGGGTTTCTCTGGGGTTTTCTTTTTTTCGTCCCCTTGTAATTTTTTTCAAGTTTAAAAGGGCTAGTTATGTAGCTACGTGGGAGGAACACCCCTGGGTCTGATCTCAAGTACCACAAAAACCACTGAGATTCTTACTCCAGTCAGAATGCCACTGTCAAGAACACAGAAAACACCAGCAAAGATTTGGGGGGAAAGGAATCCTACATTTTTGGTGGGAATGTAAACTAGTACAACCACTATAGAAATCAGTATGGACATTCCTCAAAAAACTAAGATACAGATTTCCATTTGAACCAAGTATGCATCTCCTGCATATATTCCCCCCAAAGAATATCATACTATAGTGATACATGCATATTCATATTTATAGCAGCCCAATTCACAGTACCTCAACCCTGGAAAGAGCCTACATGCCTAACAACAGGATAAAGACAATGTGGTGTTTATACATAATGGCATATTATTTAGCCATGAGGAAAAAAGAAATCATGTTATTTGCAGGGAAATTATTGGAACTTGAGACCATAATGTTAAATGAACTATGTCAGACACAGAAAGTGAAATACCACATGGTTTCTCTTACATGAGAAATCTAGAATATAAATAAATATATTAATAAAACAGAAGAGAAATGGTAGAAAACAAGAAGACAGACTTTTTAGAAATAGATTTAGAAGGGGATTGGGGGAGGGGAGAGGGGAGAAGGAGGTGAAGGAATTGAAAATGATCGTGATATGTTATGTACATACACCAGTTCCCCAAAACAAACATAGTTGCTATGTATCGCAAGCATACACTAATAAAAATAGTAATATTAAAATGCTGCGAGATTCATAAATTGGGGTTAATGTGAGGTGATACAGTATACTAGGAGGAAGATGCAAAAGAAGCTACAAAAAGGCTTTCTGAAAATCTTTGCACAGGGTGCTTTGAATTAACAGGGTGTTTGAATTTTGCCTAGCTGTGATGCATCAGATCTTGCCTAAAAAACAGGGGTAAAGTATGAGGAGGATAATTCCACCTTGAAGAATATTTAGAAAAGGATTTTCAGAAAATAAAAGAGAAAGAAAAGGAGGCAAATAAGTAATCATGTAGTGAAAATCTGTGGGTGCCACTGCCCCCAAAGTATTTTTATGACATCACTTAAACTTAAAACATATAATTTAAGAATTATTTGCAGACTGGGAGTGTAGCTCAATGGTAGAACATGGTAGGACACTTGCCTGACATGTGCAAGGCCCTGAGTTCAAGCCCTAGTACTACAAAAGAAAATTCATCCACAGATGTACTACTTTAAATAAATGTCTAGCCAGGCATGGTGTCGCATGCCTGTAATCCCAGCACTCGGGAGGCTGAAGCAGGAGTATTGCTGCAAGTTCAAGGCCAGCCTGGGCTACAAAGTGAGCGCAAGGCCAGCCTGAACTGCACAGTGAGATTCTGTCTCAAAAAGACAAAAAAAAAACCAAATAAATGTCTATTGCAATGATGAAATAAAATAAATAAAAATATTGACTACTATTATCTTTGGCCAGTATGAATATGAAACATAAATGCATTTTGTGTTGAAGGTCTCATCCCCAAGAGATCTCATTATATATATGCAAATATTCCAAAACCTGAAAAACTATGGAATCCACAACGCTTCTGGTGCTAAGCTTTTCGGATAGGGGATACTCCATCTGCAGCTTGCCTGCTTATTTTCAAAATACTCATCCCTGAGACAGTCTTACATCTAACTCTCTAGGCTCTTGAGAATTCTTGTCTGCTGTTTATCTCATTTATAGTTTTAAAATTCACAGGTGTAGCAGGTTTTGTGACTCTGGTGTCCTACGGTCTTTACAAGTTAAAGTACCGAAGAGATCAGAAGGTGTCCACTCATCTTCTTCACCTGAGAGTTGCTGCGCAAGGATTTGTCGTAGGAGCCATGACTCTAGGTAAACTGCTTCGCTTGGATCTTATGTTCAGCTGTCCTTGGAGCAGCTTATTTATTCTATTCATTTATAGAAGATGAATACTGTGTTAAGATGATATAAAGGGAAAGGGCAAGAAAAACTGATGTTAACTTGGTTGATACTGCCGCCCAGTTCTGGGCTTAATTTCTTAGTATTTTAAGCTAACAAAACCTTACACAAACTAAGAAAAGCCCCAGGAGAGAACTGGAGGGATATGTTGATGTCCTCAATACCGAAAGAAGTGATAAACAGTTCCTACTCTATACAGCTCTGTACCTGTGTGTGCAGGGGTTACATTTCCCAGCCTACTGGACAGCAGATACAGTAGGTTAGCGGATAGAGTAGCTTAACTGGGAAGGACATTTTCAGAGCCCACAAATCTCAAAAGCCTTGTTTCCCTTTTATTTCAAGTTTGAGCAATGGGTAAATCTGTGTTTGTTTGTTTGTTTGTTTGTTCATTTGGTTTGTGGTACTGGGGATTAAACCCAGGGCTCTGCACTGAACTACATCCCTAGCCCTTTTTAATTATTTATTTATTTATTTTGGTCTTTTTGAGGCAGGGTCTCGCTATGCAGTTCAGGCTGGCCTTAAGCTCACTTTGTAGCCCAGGCTGGCTTTGAACTCACAAAGATCCTCCTGTCTCAGCCTCCCGAGTGCTGGGATTGCAGGAGTGCGCCACCATGCCTGGCCTAAATTTTTATTTTAAAATAGGGTCTCACAGCTTTCTAAGTAGCCTAAGATGGGCTTGAATTTACAATCCTTCTGCCTCAGCCTCCCAGAGTGCTAGGATTACAGGTGTATGCCATCATGCCTAGCTCCTTTTTTTTTTAAATGTTGTTTTTAAAATTAATCCATAAAGCAAGTAACATCTCTGCAGTCTGACATAAAGAACAGGAATAAAATCACCGTGGTTAATTAGAGTTATAACAAGGCTAAATCTATTAGCTATTTGATTAAATAAACCTAAAAGGAAATCTATGTTGGGATCTAAATTCTCTAAATTTTTAATCTGCCTGAATGAGAACAGCTCACAGTGTTATTAGCATCCCTCGGGCTGTGCAGATTGCCTATGAGTAATTCAGAGAGTACAGAACGCTGGGTATGGTGCTTGAATACGGAGGCTATAAGGTAATTACGTATCTCAATCCTATGAGTTGTGACATTCATGTTTTGAACCAAATACAACAAGAAGCCTTACGCCAAAGTTACAGTTCCCATTCTCAGCATTCAGCAAACATTTGATGAACATCTCCTAGTGCCAGACACCATGTTCTGGTCCAGAGAAATAAAGGTAAGAGTCTCATAAGAATCGGTCTCCATTCTCAAATATTTCAGCTTCCCTAGGCACAGAAAAGCAGAAGAGGGTGTGACGTCACTGAAGCTGCTGCAGAGGTAGCAGGACTGCTAAGAAGCACGAGGACAGCACAGGCCAGGGTGTGAACTAGGCCTGGGAGGTCGGGGAGGCTCCTCAAGCATGTTAGCTGCGCGATGAGTCAAGAGCATGGAGGAATTATTACCTAGGCCGAGAAGGCAGGATTTTACAAAAGAAGAAGGATGTGTGGCATGTTGGTGGAACTCTCCACAGTTTGTTATGGCAGGTGAATTAATCAGTGTTTGGCCAGGCATGGTGGTGCATGCCTGTAATCCCAGCCCTCGGGAGGCTGAGG